TGCGCTAAGACTAAACTTCACGGTTGCGGTGCCGTGCGCTACAATATAGCAAAGCGGTAAAGTGTCTCATTTACGCCGCTCCGCATCTGCGAGTGCAATCCAGAGCTGTAACTCGAGAATAAACAACTCGTTGTTAGGCGACGTGTGCACCATGTTATTTTCATTTTTGCGATAAATGCTTATCGACGTGGTGTTCACGTCGCTCTCAGTTTGAGGCAAAAACATCTCGACGTGCGTGGCACGTCTTTTAGCGCAAGTGGTTAAAGAAATTTTAAAGGATATCATTTAATGAACTCTTGATAACGTGACCTTCGAACTTCGACACCAGTTTTTTCGAGCTTTGGCAGCAGATATATCACGCATGCACAGCTGTTTCCCTCTATGATGGAACGGAGCCACGTCTGTTGCAGAGAGGTTTTCCTTCTTACAATACATATTCTTTGATTCTAACCTCCATGGTCCGTATACTAAGATTAAACCCATTTTGTTTCGTATATTTGTTTTATACGAGGACAGGTACTTTCTTAGTTCATGCACTGCACTGCTATTCTCGAGAATACGGAAACCAAAGTTGCGGGAAACTTGCTTTGCCTTTCTAAAGACAATTAAATTGGAGCTGCGAAAATTGGCTCTATGCCAGCTACCCGAATGACACTCACGTGATACGCAATTCGCCAAAAAGTTATCTCTTCCGACGTCGGCGCAAAAATCGCTTTTTTTGGCGCGGACATTTATGAACTTCCCTGACTTTTCCAGATTTTGACAAAAATTTAAATTCCCTGACTTTTCCTGAATTTTTGGTCAATTTTGAATTCCCTGACTTCCCGGTTTTCAGGTAGCGTGGAACTTGTTTAAATTACATTATAGAAATAGCGTATCATAATGGGAATCCCATGATTTTCCCAGCGATTATTGAATATTCAGGAGTTTATCCAGTGATGTATGTGGATGTCACCTAAAGTGTTTTTTTTTCCCTTTTGATGAACAGCGGGCGAGCAGTAAGTCGCTGAACACTGGTAGTTCGGTCCGAGGTTCGAATCCCGCGAACGGGCTGGCCTGCATGGGTGTTTTCGTGGTTTTCCCCATGTGTAACGTGTATACGAGCCAGTTTTCCCTTAGAAAGTCCTCCAAGAAGGCATCCCTCCCCTTAGGCAGATAGCTCTAGGTGCTTTGTCATAATTAAATAAACCAAAACCTTTGAGAAAATCAGTCTTTCTTCATCTCAACCTTCAAAAATGTTAGCCTCTAAAGACTGATAAGGATCTGACTAAATACTGATTAAATGGATTGATTGGATTATTAAGTACGGCAAAGCAGGGCTATCTGCCTAAAGGAAGGATGCCTTCGTGAAGAACTTTCTAAGGGAAACCAGCTGGCATACACGGTACACATGAGAAAATCCATGAAAAAATCCATGCAACCAGCCCGTTTTACCGGATCGAACCCCAGAGTGAACTACCAGTGTTCAGCGACTTTACCGCTCAGCCGTTTGTGGGCCTTTATGAAATGGAAGGCGATAACTTATTTAAAACGATTGTCAGAATACCAGATATTTCGAAGTGGATGCTTTTTTATATACTTGCAGTGCCTAAAGATAAAGAGCAAGAATAATAGAATTGCCTGAGAAAAGGACGAAAAAATAATTTTGTGTAAATTTATTATTGTATTTTTTTTTTTTAAATCCCTAAAACATTTAAATTTTATGAATTTGATTCTTGTGATTTCAAAAATAAATATTTGACAAAATTGGGAATAACATTTTAAGAAACCAATGTAGGATAAAATTGTGTAAACAATGGCACAATGATAAAAAGTTTTAATGCAGTATGCAAGTCATCCTAGTTAAAAATGTCGGTTATACATCTCTCTTATTTACATTATCTTTTCTTAACGGAACATTTAAAGGCGTGTTAAGTCCTTTACTTATTTTTCTCTTTAATATATGCAGTTTTCAAACACATCTGTCGGGTTTACAAGTATTCTTCTGAAGAAATGCCATAAATAAAAATCAAATATGGAAAATTTATATTAATAAATATATTTAAAGCTCATTGAAGAAATACATAAAAATTTTAAAACTTATTCTGAAGGACAATGCAACACAAACAATTAAATAAAGTATAAAAATTTTAAAATTACCTAAAATAATAACAATGACAAAAATATATATAAAGAAACTATTTGAAAAAAATAAATGCTGCACCTTTATTTATGCAGTCGAATAGTAAATAGAAATTTTTAAACAGTTTATTCGAAAAAAAAATGCAGCTTAAGCAAAAAATGAAATTCTAAAAAGAAAAATTACTTATATAACAGTTATAATTAAAATATAATATAAAGAATATTATTGGAAAAAAGGAAGATTGTGACTTTTTTTCCTCTCATGGGAAAGGAAACTAGATTGCCATATATTAAGAAGTTGCCAGTTCAGTTGCAAAAGTATTCTTGGCACAAACTGAAAAAATCTCCCAACAAATTCCTGAAAAATTCCCAACATCTCCATAAATTTCGCTCCAAATTTTACAAAAATTTCATATTTAGGCATAATTTGAGTTTGAGTGAATCAAAATATGTAAAAAAATTGGTATGTTATTTCAGAAAAAGTCCAATTTTGTGTCAAAATACCTATGTTAGAATAGTTCTATATATAAATCTAATATATCCTAAGTCGCGTTTTCGAGACATGAAGAATGCAATTTAAATTTTGTCAATCGACCCAGTAGAATGAGAGATATAGAACTGCCCCCCCTTTTTTTTAGCAGTGTACATTATCTCTCCCAGTACTTTAAGAATGGAATCATGCGAAATCACATCATTCAAACACCTTATTTATAGTTGCCAATGGACTATAAGGTTCATTTCATAGAATCAAATAATGAGAGCTTCCTTGCTTTTTGAAATAGGAAAGGGGGTTCAAGTCAGGACCAGTTCTCCATAGACTTCAAAACAAATCTTTTTGAGAGGGAATTTTTGGCTGGAAAGTAAATAAAAAATTGTTATTTGCAGTCTAGAAAGGAAAGTAGTTCTGCATTTTGAAGATGCCCAAAATAAAGGAATCTAAACTTTGCATTTTACACAAGATTGTTTCTGAGTGGAGAAAATGTATTTTTGACACACGGAAGTATTTTCTTTTGTAAACTATGTGAATCAAAATTTGCAGTAGGAAAAAGATAACCATTATGTAGCATATGGGATGATATAAGCATAAATGAGTAGCTGAAAAATCAAAGAAAAAAAGCCAAGCATCTCAACTGTTGCTCATGCAAAGTTCTTTAACAATATCAAAGAAACCATTTTATAAAGAATTATGTAAAGCTATTGTGTTTGCAAATATTCGACAAATTTATGATGTGAAAATATCATGTAGATGCTCGTTTCTCAAAACACAATGGGAAAATTACAGAAACTATGAAAGAGAAAAATATTTGCTTCAGTTGATGAAATAAATGATTCTGATGGCCATCACATGTGCAGTGTGATAATAGTTACTCTGGATCTAGGTATAATTGGCAAGATATTTTTACTTGGATGAACTTGAAAAAGTAAAACACTCTGCAATTTGTTGATTGTCTGAAAACCATTAACAATTTATGCCCAAACAGCATACAACACAATGATGTATTACTCTTTTTTAAAAGCAGGAAAATCAATAAAGGGATTTTATCTAGTGCATGTGACTTGTTTACCTCACGCATTTCATAGTCTCACTGATAGTCTCTGGCAACTTTTACCTAACATAAGAAAAATATTCTTAAAAGCATCATGTCAAAGCCTGTTACAACACGTTGAGAAACAGCTAAATGTGAGCATTATAAAGAAATTTTTCATGTTGTGAATAGCTTTGATCTGGATACTGCTGCATTGATTCAAATTGGACAGAATGTTTTCTCCACAGACAAAATTGAAGGAAATTTTGCATACATCAGATCCAATTTTTCAAGGTGCTAATTCCAACTATCAAATCTTTACAGAAGTAAAATATGGAAATTGTTAATGCAATAAATTACACTGATAAATTGAGTGACATTTTAAATAAGGCCAAAGGCAAGTTTCATATTCTGCGTTTCCTAAATTCAGCACTGTTTGGACTAAAATCTGTGGCTTCCATACTATGCAGAAAATATCTTTCATCTTGACAGACTCCTTTGAAACTGAAGAAAAGTTTAATGATGAGTGATGATTTTTTTTTTTTTTTTTTTCAGGTGTGCTCCAATAATGGCAGTAGATACCGAGAGAAGCTTTTCAAAATTAAAAAATTTACATACTGACAACAGAAGACCTTTTGAAAACATCAAGAATCATTTAAAGGTTTAATGCAACTGCAATACATTGGAGTAAGGTTGAAAGTTTGGAATAAAAAATAAAATCAAAGTGACAGGTGGGTGTAATTGTTTGGGTTTTAATTCTTTAGTCAGCTGTGCCACTTTTTCTTTATTATTATTACTATTTATTTTGAGGGGACATTTTTATTTTTTAAAGACATTTTTCCATTCTAAGTTTTTTTTCCGGCCATTTTTAAGCACATTTTCAGTAAATTTTTAGGTTATTAAAATCCAAGCCCTGATAATTACTATTCATCTCCGATCTTTGAAAACTGCTTTTAGTGAAACAACTGATAAAAGTTGTATCTTCCATCCAAACAGTCATTGTATTATATGAAGGTTCTGATATCGATATTAGCACCTCAGATTTCATTGCATGAAAACGAGAAAAAAAGGATTTTATTACAGAAATATATATTATGAAAATTTATCACTCATTCCTTAACTTTTATACTATGGGGAAATATACTTATTGTTTTACTTCAAGGCATAGTACTTAGATAATTTACCTTTCTTGTAGAATAACTTGAATATATAAAAAATCATTTACTATCTGAAATGCAAGCTCTTTTCTTTCTTTTAAAATATCTTCATATAAAGAGTTTTCTTATATGTATATGATAGTTTGATATTCAGACCATACACAGAAAATACAGTATATAGTAAAATATCAAATACCTTTGGTATAAAACGACTGACTACATAAAATAAGATAAGTAAAGATGCAAGCACTCCAAAAGATACACCTGATGTATAATGAAAGAAAGGATTCCTGTAAAACAAAATGTTTGATTTGAAATAAAATCATTACAAAACTTACTAATTAAATGAGCAATGCAATCAAATAAAAATTTTATATTTGTGTTTCCATTAAACAAGCTGTATTTAAAAAAAATCAACAAACGAACTAATACTCAGATTGCCTCTACTCTGAGCATCTGGATGAATGAGAAATGTATTGCCAAGAGATTATGTTGTATTCTCTTTCTCAAATATAATCTTTCTACAAGAATGATATTGATTCAGTATAATCTGTTATGAATAAAATGATTCTCTTTTCAGTAGTAGAAATTTCAAACTTCTAAAACCTTTCACTATTATAAAAATTAGTTTCTCAAACTAATCTCAAAATCCTTCAATAATATTCATTAACCTAATAAATTTTTATTTCAGCTACAAAGATGAAATCAATGAATAAATAAAAACATTTTGAGGCATTTGATAACTGAAGTTTTAATTGATAATTAATAAGCAGTTACAGAGAACAAACAGTAAGCAAGACACAATTTAGCACTTATGCTTCTGAGAGGAAATGGATTCTTAAATGAATCAAATGTTATTTTAATCATGTTCATTTTATTTCAGAAAAGATGACATAATTCAGTGTAAGGGGGGGGAATGTAAGGGAAACTTTTACGCATAATACTTTTAGGAAATTACTAGGAAATGCTGTGGAAACCAAATATATAGACTTTTCTCTGTGTCAGTTCTTCATAGATCAGATTACATTATTAACAATACTTGATTTCACAAATATTTATACATCAACAATTACACTACTTATGTATTTTCTCATCAATTGAGTTTGGTATATATTTATTAATTTCTTTTTTTTTTTATTAAACTTATTTGATTCTCCCTTTCACATTTTGAAATTCAGGTTCATTCCAAATAAAATTCACCCATTTTTTATGATTTATTTTTAAAATTTGTATTTTTGAATAATTTTTATAAATTTTGAATAATAATCTATAAATTTTTTACCATCATCTTAAAGTAGACGTATTTCTAAGCATAGCTGCAAAAAATTAGTTTCTTACTCAAAATTTCCGAAGATATACGTGAATTTATATATATTGGCATGTTTTAAAATTTGGCATATTTGTTGAAAGCGATAAAACATCAAATGTGGTTTAGATACTTTGCTAAAATTATTTGAAAGTAAGAACAATGTGGCTTTTTTTCCACTCATGCACAAGGTAGAAAGAGAGGAAAGAGGTGTCTTTTTTTCCATTCCGGCATAATGAAAGAGACAGGAAAATTGGTTGCCATATACTAAGAAGTTCGCCAAGTGAATTATTCTTGGTGCAAATTGAAAACATTGCAGCAGGATGAATTTTTGAATTTCTACATAAATTTCGTACCAAAATTTTTTAGAAAATGGCATAATTTGAGTCGTAGAATCGAAATATGGAAAAAATTGGTATGTTATTTCAGAAAAAGTCCAATTTTGGGGCAAAATACCTATGTTAGAATAATGCTATATATAAATCTAATATAGAACCTAAGTTACGCTTTTGAGACATGAAAAACCCAATTTGAATTTTGTCAATCAGCCCAGTAGAATGAGAGATACAGAATTGTCCTATTTTTGTTTTTGCACAGTGCACATCAATGTTTGTGATCATTGGAAACATTAGAGCAAAAGGAGGAAGAATTTTCTGATAGGTTAATTGTTTATTTATTAGTTGAAGAGTTGGATAGAAAAACTTGCTGTTGGTGGGGAAGATCGCTTAAAAAAAGATGAGATAGGAACAGTTAAACAACTGACATGTTTTCTGAAGGAACATGCTTTCATCTATCGCATTACAAAATTCCGCAAAGAGAACCAAAACATTCAATTAATGCCGAGGTTCTTGCATCACTTTCAGAAAATTCAAAAACTTGTGTTTAATGCAATGATGATTATTTGTTGTTGAAATGTGCGCAACAATTCTTAGAAACAATTTGAATTTGTAAAGGCTAAAAACTGTTTCAACTGCTTATCTTCAGTTCACATAATTAAGGACTGTAAAAGTTCTAATACATGCAGAAAATGCTAGAAGTTCTACAATTTGCTCTTATATTTTAATTGAAGAAAATTTCGATAGCTCAAGTGGCACATTGAATCAACACACAAGCAAACCTAATAAGTTTAGTAGTACTCTTTCTCCAAATGCTGATACATTCACTCCATTAACAAGCAACCAAATGGTTAGTGGCACTAATGAAACCAACCAAGCAAATTCTATTACCAGTACTGTATTGAATATTTCCAGTTCTTTTAATAAGTAAGTTCTATTTCCAACTGCAATCATTTTTATGAGAGGTGCCGACGGTACATTTATTTCAGTAAGGGCCTTACTTGATTCGGGTTTTCAAAATTATTTCATAACTAAAGAATGCATGGAATTATTGAATTTGAAGAAAAGAAATAATAAACACTCCTATTTCAGGTATCAATGGTGCAGTTATGTCCATTAAGGAAAATACTATAGCAACTATCGCTAACACTACAAGAGATTTTATTCGTACCTTAAAATTTTTTGTTGTTCCAAAGATAACTTGCATAATGCCTGCTAGATATCTAAACATTTCTAATCTTAAAAAATTGCAATCCATTGATTAAGCTGATCCAGAGTTTCATAAACCTGGCTCAATACGTGTTTTATTATCAAACAAAGTATTTTTTGATCTACTATGAACAAACAGAATAAGCATGCAAAATTGATGCTCCAGCAGTCAATTTTGTGATATATTGTCAGCAGGTCAGTATGCATGCTATAACAAAGCAATATTGATAACTATTGTGGGACTGTTGAATCTGTGGATCATTTATCTGACAATTCGAGAAAATCATGGTTGAATAAATGGATTCATGAAGCAAAAAAAAAAAAACGTGAAGTGTCAGGAAGAGAAATTTTGTGAACAGCACTTTCTTCACTTGCATTGTAGGCAAGATGATGGTAGATATGTAGTGGAAATGTCTATCAAGAAGGAAGGACTTAGCCTTTTAGGGAAACCAAGAGAAAATGCTAGCAAAAGACTGAATTATTTACTGATGATACTGCTCCTACGACTACTGGAATTTTGCTAAACGATGTTTTACTGAATAGAAGGTTAGTTAAAGACACACTATTTAATATTACTTGAAGATTTGCTACTGAAAAATTTGCCATCATGGCAGACATCACTAAAATGTACCATCAGATTTTGATTAAGAAGCATCAAAGAGATTTATTACGCATGTTATGGAAAAGTAGCAAAGAAGAAACAGTTAAAATTTATAGATTGAAAACTATAACTTACGGTACTTCCAATGCACCATATTTTGCAACACACACAACCAATTAGCAGAGGTCAAGCGAAACAATTTTTCATTAGAAGCATAAGTAGTACAAAGGGATTTTTATGTCAATGACATATTGACAGGAGACTATAACAGAAGCTCAAGCATTACACTCGTAGTTGATTGAATTACAATCACATGGAGTATGTTTTTGCACAAATGGTGTGCTAATCACCCGGATCTTTTACAGTGCCTGGATGGACAAAAAGACTATTCCTTTAGTAATTTTGATGACGATCAGTGCATCAAGACTTTAGGATTATTATAATGCATCGATTATAATAATCTTAGAATTTAATTAACATAAACTCTACACCTTAAACGATAAACAACACTAAGCTAAAGTATCAACCTTAAATGATAACAACTCTACACCTTAAAACATAAACTCTACACTTTAAAAGATAATTTCGATTACGATCAGTGCATCAAGACTTTAGGATTATTATAATACAAAAGTAGATTGTTTTTCTTACAAATCAACAATCAAGAAACTGACTACTTACACAAAGAGAACATGCTATCTGACATTGGTCGCATCTATGATCCATTAGGATTGCTTGGTCCAGGGATAAACAAGAGCAAAAACCTTCATCCAAGGACTTTGGCCATTGAAGCTTGATTGGAATGATACATTATCCAAGTAGATAATTAAGGAGTGACAACTTTCATTGATTCCATGCAATCCATCAACAATTTACAAGTGAGCAGATTTGTTTTACATGACAGTTTTTCTGAGACACAAATTCATGGATTTTCAGATGCATCAGAAAATGTATATGGAGCAGCCATCTATTTGCACTGCAGAAACGACAGTAATTTTTCTTCATATTTGCTTTACAGCAAGTCAAGAATTAGCCCCTCTAAAACCGTTGACAATACCATGCTTTGAACTCTGCCCAGCTGTACTGCTATCACAGCTTGTTACAAGGGTGGTGACGTTGTTGAAATTGGAAATCTGTAAAATATGTCTTTGGTGTGACTCAGCCATAGTGTTAGCATAGCTTTAAAATCCTCCACATTTACTAAAAACTTTCATTGCTAAAGATCCAAGAACTAATGCAGATTTGCCAGTTTAATTATGTGCATATCAAAAGAAATTCCAACAGACCTTATTTCCAAAGGATTTAATTTTGACCTTGGCTGATTGATTTTGTTGATTTTTTGCTTTTGTCATTTTGTCACATACTTGCTCAGTCTAGCAAATAGCAGGTAGATATAATGTAAAATGATCTAGATTAAAATTATAAGTAAAATCCTAATTAGCATGATTTGTAACAGAAGATTAGGTGTAGCCACTGCTGCTGTTTGCTTAGAGAAAATATTGCTGATTAGATTGAACCTGAAAGCCCAACGTAGGCATGGTTGGTAAGTTTTGAAAGATATTTGTGCTCTGTCTGTCTGATGCAATTAGTGTCATAGCTTCACACAGAGTTCCTGGGGTTGTAACTTAAGGTTCCAATAAGCCACTAAAGCATCAGAGGTGAGTTGTTTTGCTTCGTTTTAAGTCTCTTTTTAAGTTATGCAAAGAATAAGTTTTACATTAATTTTTACATTTTGTGCTGTATTTTGTAAATACGGTAATGATTAATGAAAGGCAATAACTTGCTTTAATATGCAGAGATAACTTTTAACGGTAAGCAGTTAGTTACAAATAATTAAATTAGGTAGTTAGATACAGTTAGTCATTACAGAGTTACATGGCCACTACTAAATTTTATTTATTTTTTAAATATATTTGTTAAAAACAATAATAAAATCCTAATCTAATAACAATTCACAATTTAAAATATATGTAATTCATGGCATTGATTCTTAAATGATATTAGGATAATTACACATTAAAACCTACAAAACATTTAACAACATACAACAAAATATTTATGCGTCTTTTTAATTTGAAGCTTTTCCAGACATTTTGGCTAATTTATATTAATTTTCCTTCTCTTAAAGAATTTTTTCGAACAATTAGGCATTTATTTCAATAAACAAACTAGTGTTCCCACTAGTTTCTGTGTGCTTTATCTCCTAACTTCTCAATCTCTTGAGAATGTACCTATGAAGTTTTACTTGATCTGGTAAAAATCAAATACAGTCAAAAGTCTTTAATCCGGACTCGCCGGGACTTCGGAGATTCTGGATTATCGGTTTTTCCGGATTGTAGATTATCAGTTTAAATCTGGTATGATGGCATGCAGAAATTATAAAATTAGAAATATGAAACTGCAATTTATGAAAAAAAGAGCAATTATGATCTAAAGGGTCACACAATTTACAAAAAAAAAAAAAAAAAAAAAAAAAAAAAAAAAAGCTCAATACTTATTTGTTTACTTTATTAAACATTTCTTTCAATGCGCGCATGCGTAAAGCATACATTACACATAGTCGAAATTAGAAAATTGCAACCAGAAAACTATTTGATGTGTATTCGTGATATGTATAATGATGAGGAATTTGACTTAAATCATATCAAAGACGGAGTACATCGAGACGAAATATTACATTTACTAAGGAATTATAAGCCGAATAAAATAAAAACATCTGCCCTTAAGATAAGGATACGGCTGACAAATCAACTTCCAGTTCATTGCGCGCCGCGACGTCCCCCTATACCCCCCAAAGAGCAGCGTGAAATTGATAAACAGATTTCAGAATGGTTAGAAGAATAAAGAATATGCCTTTATCCATTTTTTGCAGCAATTCCACTTTTTGTTTAATGGACATCGAAACATGGTTTTGCTTTGTAGATACTTTGGCAGCTCCAGAATCGGAAATTTTTTTGACATAATCGAAAGTTCAAGCTTACTTTTATAAAATTGCTCTAACAGTCTGCAAAAAATAATAAGCTGGACCCAATTAGAAGCTTAAGGAACAACGCAATATGCAACATTAACTGAAATAGATAATTAGATAACTTTAGCTTAGCTTATACCGTTCCTTATATATTAAACACGCATGCATAAACGTATTATGTGCATGCGTAACCGCATATGAGCATGCGTACCTGTATTATGCGTTTATGCATGCACAGAAAGTTTGTAGCTTTGAGGTTCGGATTATAGATCATTCCGGATTATGGACGTCCGGATTAAAGACTTTTGACTGTAGTCCCAAATGCCTCACACACATGAAGCAAATTAGTGCTATGTCTGAAGTAACTACAAAGTGAGATAAATGTTTAAATAAATCTCTTATTTAAAAAGAACTGAAAACATAAAGGCATGTTCTTATGCTAATGAAATCATTTATAGCTGATACTGATGTAACTAAACAGGAACAGTCAAATTCAAACTAAAAATGTGGGCTAACAGCCAAAGACCACACGATTTAATTTTAATCTAAGCTGGCACAATAACTCTATCATTCAAAATCATAAAAACAACCTTGTATTTAGCGTAAGTATATTGTATCGTAGTAAGTGTAGCGTAAGTATATCAACAACAATACAATATTTCTCTTCTAGTCTAACTCTATCATTGTAACAAATTTAAATGTCAGCAGGGATAACACAAAGACGAATAATGACAATAATCGTGTGGTTCTTCAAAGCTGGCAGGAACTAATGCAGCATGCAAGAAGAGGACTGGAACACACTCCATCTTACAAATGCAAAACCTTAATTTAAAAACTATCTAACTGATTTGTGTTCTAGTGGGGAAACAGAAAGAGGAAGTTGCATAAAGGCTGAAATTATAATCTACAAAAAAAAAGGTGATAATTTTACTTCTTTAGTAATATGAACATTTAGAATAAATATAAAATGATATATGGTGATATATGGCAAGGGCCGATTACAAAGCCAATGTGGCAGAATGTTTTGAATTTAGTGACAAATCAAATCTAGAATTGGTAAAACATTTTAGGACAGAGATTCGGGAACAGTCAGAATAGATATTTCTGTTGAAACATAATATCTGAAACTTTTCACAATTATAATACTTTCATTACTTCATACAAGAAAGTAGAGGAAAAAATGTGCAAAAATCACTAACTTGCACCCAGATACGTAATTTTTCCTTTTTTATTTATCAAAAACTGCCAAACTGCCATAGTGGTTGTGTTAATACATAAGTATCACAAAATATTGGAGTTTTACTTTAAAAAAATCAATTGAACCTTATAGATCTAATATTGCACATTAGCTCTTAGATTAAACATAAACTGATCTTTGCTCTTCAGACTTAATATGCAGTATTGTGTCAATATTAGGAGTTTCCCAGGTTAACAGCATTCAATGGAATCATCAAGCACTTAAAATAACATGCTATTCTCCTGATTCAATAGTAAAATTTATTATGAAGACTTTTTCCACAGCAGAAATTATATATTGTATTATGAAATATTTTATACATATAAGAAAAAACATGATTATGAATGTGTTTCTGTAATAATACAGGGTTAGTCAAAATCTCTTGCTTGATTTTATTACCATAATATGCAGTGCTGTCTACACATATATAGAATATGGGTTCCAGCTAAAGTGAGAAATGAATGTTTTTTACATTAATAGTGTTGTGCCCGGCTGAACTCTATGCACCTCTACAACCATCTCATAATGTGAAAAAAAAAAAAAAAAAAAATCCTTTGCTGCCATTTAAAATTAAGATGTCATGCTAAAGCCTTCAGATAAATAAATGAAATATTTTTCTAAAGAAGCAGTTTATAGCAACTAGGCAATTCTGAAAACAATAGAATACAGAGGTCTTTGGCCATGCTTATTATACGAGAAATAGGTTACTACATAGCTTAACACAGTGCTTAATGTAACACAATGTAGGAAACATTCAACTTTGACAAAACCACATAAGTCAGCTGTGTTAGTTTTTCATCTGTCATGTTACCACAAGCAAACTACCTTGGTTATTGTCTGAAAAGCAAGATTTATCAGAAACCATTGTATAAAAAATCAGTGGCAGGTTGGAAGCAAGTTAGATACAGCACAGAGAGCAGAAATAGCAGTACCATAATCTAGTTCTGGAAATCAGTTCTAAAATATGTACACTGTTCTAAAATATACACACTGTAAATATGTAAAAGAAAATACAGTCAAAGCTGTCCCAGACAAGCTATAGTAAAGGATGATCCTTAAGTATTGTCAACAGCCTACTTAAGTAGGTTGTAAAAGATCACAAATTTTAAATGTTTTTTATGGCAATGGAGCTGTAATCTCAAACTGCACAGAACTACTTTCATAAAGAAGACTTTTATGATGTAGATAAAGGCTGCATTCTCTTTAACCGCATGGCCTACAATAATTAGATGTTGTAGCTGAGGATATGCCAAGCAGAGTCAATGCCTTCTCTTTGATAAGTCAAAATTCAGAGGTCTGTAAATAAATGAGTTATCATTTAGACAGCATGCAGTAGATGAAATAACAAAGATTTAATGCAAGATATTTCTTATTACAAAGAGAGGGGATTGAATGTTCTGAGCAAGCATACATATAAATTGACCTATAAAATTGTATGCATCAGCAACAACCTCTGACAGACAAATTAGACAGACAGGAACCGTTAGTCAGTTTCCTTGGTTTTTTTTTTTTTTTTTTTTTTTTTTTTTTTTTTTTTAATGATAATACTTGATCTACATGTCAACTAGTGCACAACATACTTCAAGAAAAAATAATCAAGCTTATGAAGAAGCCAGCATGCTTTCTTAAGAAGCCAACAGAGCACAGATTTAACATACTAAGCAGGTGCATTGTAAGTAGCTTAGCATTTTATTGGCTATTTATGAACTGTGGACTGTATTCATTGCAAACTTGTGAAAACATCGTCACAATAAACTCAATAATTTCATTGATTTTATGCTAAAGCAGTTTTAGCCCTTTAAAATCATGTATCTTTAAACTAAAATTAGATTACTATTTTCAAAAATTACCCGCTCCCCTTCTAGTGTAAATATGCATATTGATGTAAAATATACGGTATCACATGCACTAAGTTGCATATATTTAAAAACATTTAATGCAATCTTTTTTATTTATATTTCTAAATATTTTAATTTGCATCATATACATACAAGTAATATTTTACTTCTAAAAACAGTAATCATACACAATATGCATTATTCCCCTAATTATTTGAATAGCCTATTTTGACAAGATGATTTTTGTATGAGAGTCTTAGGAACTTTTGCTAAGCATGACAAAACATATCAAACCTAACTAACTGATTAAGAGAACTTAAAAAAAAATCATGTTTAAATCACAAGTTAAAAAGGTAAGTAGAATGATTTCAAAGATTTAGCTATCCTACATCACTGAAATAACTGGGTACTTTTTAATTGCATAAGCTTTTTGGTGCGAAAACTTTAATTAGCAAATTGAAGTCATCAACATGCTATTTTAAAAACTTAAATTCTATATACATATCTCAAAATAACATACCTACTTAAGGATGGAGCACTTAGAAACAATAATATACCAATAACAGTCTGCAAAAATCTCCAGTAATTAATTGCTGTGAAATATAAGAGAAATAAAGAATTATTTGGAAACTTTACTTATATCTGTTAATAGCATAAAAACTTCTTCGGAGCTTTGAATGAAATATTTATTATTAAAAGCTATTTAAAATAAAATTAAGATTTAAATTTTTACAAAATTTTTTACTGACAAAGCAACAGAGGGTGGAATGATTTGGAATAGCAATATTTGGTTAGTTGAATAGATTAAGGCAAAACATATGCATGCAATCTGCCAAAGAAAAGATAATTTAGAAGAATATTTTGTCAGAAAAACTGGCTCATTTATCATGACAATAAGAAAAGCTCATGTAGCAGGCTTTCATAATACATATAATATATATATATATATTATATTATATATATAATATATAATATATATATAGATATATATATATATTATATTATATATATATATATAATATATATAATAAAATAAAAAACTAGAGACAAACCATTAGGTTCAGTTATACATGAGCTCAACATTAACCTTCTGAGCAGTGAGATTTCCTATATCTAATAATGAAGATCTCCAATTACACAGCATTTATTAGCCAGATTTGAATAATTACTTGTTACTCTTTGTATTTATAATAATCCATTCATCAGAATGATAATTTGGTCATTAAAAAAATAAAAGAGCAAACTATTTTAAATAAAAAAGACAAAATTAACAAAGGGGCAAAAATTTTATGGCCAGATAAGTCATGCTACTTGGAGGGTTAAAAGAATAAAAATGTATAAACAAATTGTGCACAAGAATGAAATGATAAGTTGCCACTTTACATAAGTGAAAGAAATGTGAACTTATATAAGATTCAGCTTTTTAATGTGTAAGAATTAGAATGAAAGAATGTGCATGATATTTTTAGCAATTTAAATAAATTTTATACAGCTTTATCTTATAAATAATTTTCCTTTAGCAAAAGCAACTTTAGAATTCTAGTTCTTAAAATATTAAAGTGTAACATACTTGTTTATACAGGGTGTCCCATAAATGTTGCAACAAACTTCTGAGGGGAGGTAAGGCACATCATAAGGATTAAGAATTGCATAGGAAACCCTGCCCAGAAACATCATTGTACACCGCCAGGGGGTGTTGTACAGGAGGTTGCTAGTGGAAGATGAGGATTGCCTCATTTGAGCGGTAGGCACCATACAAAGAGCATGAAATGCTATACAAATGGACAGCTTGTGAACGTGTGGTTTCAACATGATGGAGCACTTGCTCATTTTGGACTGGATGTTCATAGCCATTTGAATAGATAATTTCTGCATCGATGGATTGGGTTTTGGTGGACCGTTTCCCTGGCTCTATTGCTCAGCAGATTTATTGAGCTTGATTTCTTTTTGTGGGATGCCATCAAAAGTGTCATGTATCACAATCCTGTTGTGTCTGAAATGGATCTCATGGTAAGACTCACCTGCGCAGCTGCTACAATCAAAGAAACTTCCAGTGTGTTTGAACATATCTGGTAATCAATGGTCCATCGGTGTCAGGCATGTTTGGCATCTGATGGTGCAAACTTTGAGCATCTGTTGTATCATTCAAGCTGTCACACACCATTTGTATTCATGTCCAATAAATGTTTCAAATTAATCACTCTCTTGTTTCCTTTCCCATCTTCTACCTCTGCTACCACTTACTCCTGACATTTCCGAGCATAGGTTCCTATGCAATTCTTAATCCTTATAATGTGACCTATCTCCCCCAGAAGTTTGTCACAACATTTATGGGACACCCTGCATATTTTAGTGATGCATTACAAAAATCCTTACTGATAAGAATGAATTTCACCAAATTTAAAGTCTGTTTTTTCATATTTTAATAAGATATAGCAGAAAGTCCAAACTAAGACAAATGATTGGTCTTAACTATTGCACCCTTGTAATACTAAGAACCTTGACAAATATCCCTACAAACACTACAATTTTTACTAACCTTATTAAATTATGTTCGAAAAAGAATTAAAAACTACTGTGTTTGCAAAGGGAACACAGAATTTCAAAACAATATCAGAAAGTAACCACATCCACAAATATACTGATGGCTCAACTTACGAAACTATACAGAACAGTAGAGCTGTCATACTTATAGTGCTACTGAATGGTATAACAGTGAACAACAAAACTGGCACAGGCAACTTCACTTCAAATTTCAGCAGAGAGTTGAAAGCAATAAACAAAGCACAACATGAATATCATCTATTTGAAAATATGGAAAAAGCAAATGTTTTGGCTGTCTTTTGTGATTCTAGAACTGTCTTAGAGGCAATAAATAAAAGTCAATCAACACTTGTCCACGATATTCTGCATCAACTGAAGGAAAATCCAGATAAGGTCTGCATTCTGCGGTGGATGCCTGCTCACGCTGGCATTCCTGGAAACAAAACCACAAAGAAGTTTGCCAAAGAAGCAAGAATTCAAACGATAATAAAAGCAGTCAAATTACTCTTGACAATGAAAATGCCATTGCATGATATTGACTTGACACCATTAAAAAGGACTACCAGATTTGAGAAATGAATGCTAATCAAATCAAGACATCACAAAAAATATAACTTGACTCAGAACCTAGCACTTTCATAGTATGAAAACAGAAAGAGATGGCACAAGATCCTACTATCCCTGCAATAACTATGGCCAAATAACGGTAAGTTCTGACCATATTTTTTACTCCCCCGTGATTATAAAATCCCTGAGTCTTCTTGGAGAATATCCTTTGATACTGAATGGCTCTATTCTGGAAACATCACTGAGATAGCTGGCTATATTTTATCTATAAATGGTCCTTCAGGATCAATTTTGAGTTCCCGTGGACACAATCAAAAAGTCCAAGATCTGGAATCACCGGATTTCAGAAATTTTAATTTATCACTTTATCTATCTACTTAATACTACTACACTCTCTTTTCAAATGGCACTGCAATGGGAACTACTGCCTATTTGAAAACATGCACTTAAGAGACCATTGTTAATTTTCAGGCAAGAACTTTTTCTTTTGAGTAGGGTGATGTTATTCAGCATCTTTAAGAGAGACAAGAAGCCAGTTTTCTAAATAGGTTTGAACAGCTGGTAAGGGGGGAGAAAGATACATTTTTACCATTAGTTTCAGGAGGGGGGAAAAAGCAAATATTTGCAACTTGTAGGATGGTAAAGTGGCAAAAAATAAATAAATAAAATAAATAATAAATGAAAATTAAAATTGGCATTTCAAAGTTTTTTTTGGGGGGGGGTAATTTTACCTCTTTACATTGGCATTTTCTGTTTTAATTACGAGAAATAGAAAAATATATAGAATATATTATATAGAAAAATGTCACTAACTGCATGAAGCAGCAATATGCTTGATTTTTATACCTCTGATTGTTAACCATACTGTTGCTTGATCAAAATATTTGAAAAAAAAAAAACTTACTTCTAACTTCTAAACTTAGAACATAAGAGTCTCCTGTATATAAACCAACACAATATTCTGAAAAAGCAGGAAATCCAATTGTTTTATCTTGTTCATACAGCCAAGATGTTGGAAGCCAGGTAGATTTCTCTCCATATTTATTAAAAACATCAGTTTCATTATCACCAGAAAACATTTCATAAGATTTTGGTGCATGTTCCAATACTAGCTGAAAACAGCATACATAATTTTACAGAAAATATTATCCAAATATGGTTATCTTATTTGAAATAAAATCAGTAGAATAGCATTAATTAAATAAATATATACTGAACATAAAAACATTTTATTAAATTTGAAACATAAATTCTCAAAATAAGCACTTTTAGGTAGTGACAACATTTAGCCAAATAGCTGTATTATTGTTTAACATCTGTATCTAATGTTTGTTTATCATTATATCTCTGTCATAGCTCATAATTTTAATAATGCATTGTGCATGCTTGTTTGAAGAGAACCTAATGGTACTTTTTTGTTATTGGGACTGGATTCAGAAATGTATGTATGTATGTTTATATATGTAAGATAAAAAATGCAAATCAAAATTATAATTTAAAATGCCTTTTAATTGTTCATTTTTAATTCAGGTATTTTGTCTTTAGTAATAACTTTCTCTAAACTGCATCGTATCTGAAAACATATTCTGCATTATGTCATCTTGAAACTTCTGCATTGCCTATAAGTTTTAGCCAATCAGATTAAAGAAAAATTTTATTATAAATACTGTTGCAATCCTACTCCACCTTTTTTTCTTTCTCTGCTTGTGCTTGCTGGCTGAAAGACAATTTTTGTTTAAAAATTTGAATTCTAAGAATTTTCTAATCGTTTTAAGAATGAAGTGGCATAAATTTTGAAGGCTCCCACTTTTTTTTTTTTTTTTTTTTTTGGTTTTTGTATATAATAATAATTGTTTTTTAATATAATGGAGTGTAGTTAATTTCTTAAGTAATGGAATGATAGAGCAGTTCAAAAAGGTCAGTTGCCTCTATCCAAGAAATGGAGGCCTTTTATACAGTAACTGATAATTTGACAAATCTTTTGGCCACTGGTGAAGAATAAACAGTGGTTTGCTCAACTAATAAACCTAAATGTTGGTATTTAGAGAAAGCTGTGGGGTCTTCAGGTTTTGTAAAGAATAAGTGAACTATAAATATCTAATAATAGTAAAAAGCATAATTTCAATAAAATATTTCAAATGATGTTTTGAATGATGAAATAATTATATTATAGTATTTTGAAATTTCTTGTAATTTTGTAACTTAATTTATAGATGTATTTTAAATTTTTATAATTGAATAGTTTTTTAAAAAAAAAAAAAAAAAAAACTTCCCTAAGCAGGTAAAATTATGAAGTTTGTTTAATCTGTAAAAGAAAATTTTGTTTTTATTTTGACAACAATTTTTACGGAAGATTTTCAAGCCAAGGATTGCAAAATATGAATATGATACTGAAGTAAATATTCCAAGAACTGTGAACTTTTACTGTTCTTTATTGAAAAAATTAGGACTTTTTTTTTTTTTTTTTTTTTTTTTTTTTTTACAGTATGTTTACAGAAAAAGGAATTTGCAAAATTTTAGTAGCACTTTTATATTGCATTTCATGTTAAAAATGACGTCTACAAGATTTTGTTATTTTAAAATTGTATTTCCTTTGTTTCGCTACTATTTTAATGCTTTTTTCTGAAAAGGCTTTTCTGTCGCCAAGCCTTTTTCTCTTTGAAGGGGGGGGGGGGATATGCAAGATAAAAAAATGCAAATCAAAATTCTAATTTAAAATGCCTCTTAAATAGACTAGAAGAGAAACAGGCTAATGTGACAATCAAAATCATAAAAACAACCTTGTATTTAGCGTAAGTATATTAAAACACTCAATCGATTTCGAGGGTAGCTAAAGGTCCCTCCTCATCAGGAGAAAGAAATACCTAGAAAGAAGAAAAATAAAGGGGAAGGAGTCTCAGAAACACGTGGTCCTTATCAGCACTGCACGTGGTTAAACCATTTTTAATCAGAGTTACACTGGCCGCCTTATCAGCACTGTACGTGCTGATAAGGTTATAACCATGTGCAGTGCTGATAAGGACCACATGTTTCTGAGACTCCTTCCCCTTTATTTTTCTTCTTTCTAGGTATTTCTTTCTTCTGATGAGGAGGGACCTTTAGCTGCCCTCGAAATTGATTGAGTGTTTCAATATACTTACGCTAAATACAAGATTGTTTTTACGATTTTGATTGCCTCTTAAATGTTCGTTTTTAATTTGAGTTCTTTGTCTCTAGTAATAACTTACTCTAAACTGTGTCATATCTGAAAACGTATTCTGCATTATGTCATCTTGAAACTTCTGCATTGCCTATAAGTTTTAGCCAATCAGATTAACGAAAAATTTTACTATAAATATTGTTGCAATCCTACCCCACCCTTTTTTCTTTCTCTGCTTGTGCTTGCTGGCTGAAGGACATCTCTTGCTTTGTTGCTTCTGTTTAAAATGTAATGCACCATCATCAAAATGGTGGGGTGCAGATTGGCCCCCATTGTGAAGTGCCACAAGTAATAAAGGTATATTTGGAATATCAAGTGATTTTTGTGATTCTTCAAAAGTTCTCGACTGCCAAACTAAATTTTATCATCACACACACACATACACACACACACACACACACATATATATATATATCAGTGATAAGGTGGGACATGTGCCCCCATGCACAGCATCCAGGCAGCAGCAAACTGAAGTTAAAAAATTTTAGAATGAAATGTTTTCCATTTTTAAATATGGTAGCGGTAGTGGTGGGCTTCCTGGTGCAATCCATTCTTAAATGCAATACAACATAAATGAAAAACAATTCTCAGTCCATAACTCCATTATCATGAGAAAGGATATCTTTTTCCTATTTTTTGTCATGTGATTGGCAAAACTAGAAGAGAATAGCTATGATTTTCCATTTAGATGTAAGATGAAGAAAATTCATCCTTCTCTACATATAAGCAGCCTGGACAGTCCACACTAATTCCGGCTTAAAGCAGAGAAAATAATGAAAGAAAAAAAAATCTAGTAAAAAGATTATTTTTTCACCAGTTATTTTTTCATTATTTCCTTTGCTTTAAGACAGAATTAGTTTAAAGTGAAGTTCTACCATTTAAAATAAGTAGCTTTTTCTGAAGTGTAACTCTGATTAAAAACCAAGTTTGCAAAATCTACTGGATGCTTTTCCCCACTTATGTTAAACCAGAGACAACCCAACCATTTTGTACCTTAGAGTACAGTCTAGAATACTGGTGGCATAGCGGGCACATTTTTTTTTTTTCTTTCCAAGATACACTTACAGATCTGCATAGTTAATAATACACATTATACTATACAAAAAAAATATCCCCCAAAAATATAATTTTAAAATAAAAAATAAATTATTGTATTCATATATAAAATAATTTCTTAGTAATGCAGGTAACAGTTAACAAGTTTTTTCATTTACAATCTGTTGACATAAAAATTCTTCATAAAATTGCAATTCATAACGTCAGCATGATATTTGGCTTTGCATTTCATTTTTCCATTTCTTCATAATTAGGAGATTTATGATGGTATTTCTGTTTGTAAGCAATTATTAGATGCTCATCTGGAAGTCAAGATATGGACTTGTGATATTCATTATTGAAAACGATGATTTGCACAAATATGTGGAATCAAAAAATGGTTTTGTCTTGTATGATACTCTTTTCAAGAATGAAAATTTTTCTTCGAAATATATTTCAGAAATTCTCACCTGATACATACTGGATTTTAGGACTCCAGTTTCTAGCTACCGATTTTTTCATTCTTGCTTGTTTAAGCTCTGTAATGTATGTAGCTATTTCAGTTACATTTATTTGGCAAGTAAAAGGACTGATGAAAAAGGTGATCGTTGGTTAGGTAATATTAAACTATACAAATCATTTTTCAAATATTGCAAAAAAATTGTCAAAAAAGTAACTGAAGATTGATAACAAATGAGAATAAATAGGTTTCAGCTTCGCCTATAATTTTTTTCATATTTTCGAAAAGCGCAAGTGACTTGATCTGTAAATGTGATATCCACAACACCAGTTTAGCATTAAACAACTTAACAGACACTGTTAATAAAGCTATATGTGTGTCTTTTTCCTGTACCTCCAAGTTTACATAATTCAGTTTCTCAATTATGCCTGTCAGAAAATTTAAATCTGCCATCCAGCGAAAATTCATTAGCTTAGCTTATGATTCTTGCAAGAACTTTGCCTTTAACGAGCCAACATACTTCACCAAGCAGAACAAAATGAGGATCTTCTGGAATTTTTTAGTAAGGCCTTAAAAAGGTGGTGCTGCAAGGTGGCTGCAGTAATTGTTCACTATTTTCATGACATGACTGGAGGTCAGTATTTTACAACGCAAAACTTCCTGCTGAATGATACAGTGATACAAGTTCGAAAATAATTTATCTTACTTGCAAAGGATAATAAATCATATTCAATAGCTTGTGCAGAAGGCGATCTATAGACTTTGTTTATGCTGTAAATGTATTATAGATATCCTTACCTTTTAATATTTTCTACATCTTGTTTACAATAAAATTAGTGAATACCATTCTCACCATAACTGCTAACTGTTTATCCATAGAATCGTCAAATTATAGTGAGAACTTATCACATATTTCAATCACACTTTAGCTGCAATTCCATATCTTTTGCAATGGTATATATTTCTCTTGTGACGGTGTAATCTGATAACTGTAAGTCTTGTATACTGATGATATAATCTCGCATTTGTTAGAAAAATCTTTCAAATAAGCAATCAGCACTAGTTAAAACCCTTCAATTAACAATTCACCATTCTAGAAAGGCTTTTTCCTCTTTATGAAAATGAGGGTTGTAGGAAATTGATGTAACGCATCATACACAAGCACTTTAAAATTGACGAAACAATATGATTCTGTACAGTTAGAGTAAAAATTACAGATTCCTTGTCTTTTACTTGAGAAACTAATTTTGCGATTAAAATAACAATGTGCATAAAACATTGACATATAAGACATCAGCATTAAAAAGGAGACACATACACTATTGTACGTGTCTCCTTTTATTAAATCTTAACTTAATCTTAAATTAATCCTTTTATTAAAGTTCGTAACTTATTGATTAAGTTACGAACATATAATA